ATTTCTATTGTGCCTCATGGATTCTGATTATAATGTAGCACTTAAACTTTATCCAGTTACATGTGGCTCTAAAATATCTGTACTACTTCAACTTCATGAGGAAAATATATTTTTCCACTTTTGGATGTAAAGCTTTAGATGGCATTACAAATTGACAGTACTTGACTAAATGACATTTCATTATAATGAAAACTTGATTATGTACTTATAAAACTGGAAGAAAGTTTATTCATACTGCTGATTTTGTTAATCTCAAATGAATTCATACGTGGAATTTGGTAAGACTGTGTGGGTGCTTGGCAGGCTTTTTGCCCTCCTGGTGGTAAAGCTGGCATTGAGGTGTGTCTCCATGATGGAAGCAGGAGATAACAAACCTACATCAGTCCCAAATGAAGCATTTCTTCAGAAAGCAGGGTTTAGCCTTAAATATATGAGCCAATCACAACACATTTTCAAAGAATTCTGTTTTACTACTTTAAGGACTTTCAGTATGAAGATGTTTTTCTGTTTCTTTGCGAAGGAGTATTTCACTTTTCCTATTGAGATTTACTTGAATTCTGAGAAAGCTAGAAAACTCATTTCTGTTTGGTTATTCATACAGCTATTATTTCTCACTTCCCTTTAAATCTTTATGTGGCTTAGTATTTTTAAATGCTTCATTAAGTATATAGATTTTCTTTGGTTGAATTTTGCTAGCCATTTCTTGCTTAAATTTTTCAATAGAAAGTAATTTAAGAAATACTCGTACCTTTCCCCAGGCTTTATCCCTTAGCTTTTAGGAAACCCATCTTGAGACATTTGTAAGGACTTTATATTTGTGCTGTGACTGTAAACGATACCTAAATGAGTCTAAATAAAGAATTTTAGAAGTTACTGTTCTTGAAGAAAAAATTCCTGGACTGCTTTATGTTTGTTTTAACACTCTACCCCTAAAAGCTTTTAAGAAGGTCAAATATTGATATTTGATCTTATGTATTCCGAAGGATTTATTTTTATAAAGTCAATGCAGTGCTCATTTAAATCTTGTACACTTGAGGGCATCCTATTCAAATGATTTTTAGCAGAACACCATGGTGAATACAGTATCTCCATTCTTACTGTTGACCTGTGCCGCATCCTTGCATGCACACCACCAGGATCTCTCATGCACACTAATGATACACAGTTGCAAAGGATTGAAAGTTTCAAAATTAATTTGTCTTATTACTTAGTTTGCTTCCTTAACTATCTTAAATGAAGAATGTATATTGAAGAACTGAAGTTCTAAAATACATAATACAGCATTTGGACTTGATGATTTAAATGCTGCACACAGAAATTCTCATGCATGATGAGAACAAAGACCTTGAGCATCCACTTAGAAGTCTCCCTCTCCTTTGCTTAGTTGGAAGCATGGTTCTTTGTAACATTTTCAAATCATTTACAGTAAAACAAATCCTATAAGAAATTCATCAACTTAAGCTATTTAGAGGTAACTTTGAAAAATAACTACATCCTCGATTAAGTGGTTCTGCACTTTGCATTCAGGTTTTATTGACAAGCAGTTTTGTTTTCTGTGTAGCCTAATACAATGGTGTCACAAGAAAAAGGCATTTTAAATGTCTTCTTTATTATTAAAATCAGTTACTTGTTTTTAAAAATCATCCTTTCTCCCCTACTAGGCCACATAATACTCTGTAAATATCTTAATAAAGAGTATATCATTGCTCAAAATTATAGAAATTTCTCTTATAATTGAAATGTTTCTTAAATGATTTAGTATGTCATTCTCTAGTTATATAAGAGCAATTACAAGTGGAGAAAGCACTTATTTATGGGCTTCCCTGTAGACTGAAATTTTCATTATCAGTAGAAAAAATAAAGGAAACAATTTTAAGTCCTCTTCAAAAACTGCTCTTGTGTTATTACTGAATTGACTCTTTGAAATGTTTTAGGAAATCCCCCCTTACTGGGAAGAATATTTGTAAGGAGATTGTTTAAATATTGTCCTCTATAATTATGTGCAAATGAAGTGTTGATTTCTTTGGAAGACAGTCAGCTATGGTAGAGAGCTAGGTGTGTATTGAGGGGTTTCTCCAACTCATGTATGTGTCTGTGATTTGAACAAAGAGAGAAGAGAAATGTAGGAGTAATGAATATGGCTCAGAAATATTCAACAGAATACACAACTTGTCATTTATTCAGTCTACACAGCAGAATCTTTTCAGTGGTTTGTTTAACCTTAATTATTGTACTCACTGGCTATTTCAATGGGTTATGTAAACAAACTGCCAGAGAAATTGCACATCATTGTTTATATCCTTCCAGATAAATTCAATAACTTGTGTAGCCTATCTACAGATAACACAACCATGTTTCTACTTGGGCATCTTGCAAAATATTCCTACCACTAGGCTATGTGTAAGGTAGAAGGTGGGTCTGTGGGTCCCCAACTGGCATTTCTGGTTGCTCCCAGAAAGCTCTCTCATTCTGTATAGTTGAACTGAGAGAAGTCAATGTGTCTGGCAGCTCCTGTACAGCCTGCTGCTGGACTTGCAGTGGCTGAAAGCAAAGCCTGTTACCCCTGTCTTTCTATGATAGGACTTTGTCATGATCAGGTGGCAAATCGCTGCTTCTGGTCATAACACAGACGACTTGACATCAAAGAGATGCTGCTGCATTGAATACAGGTTCAAAATATTTTGCCTAATGAATAGATTTTCCCAGGGTGAATATCATCTATATAGCAAGGATTGTTTTATATGTGAGAGATTTTACATGACATTGTGTTTTTGAAGCAGCCACTTTCCTAGGTGGATACTGCCATAAATTCCTTGATGCGACTGGATAAAAGGGGGACTAGCTATAGACATATTTATAGTCAGTTCCATCCTCGAGTCCTGCATGATGAAAATCAGTTATTAATGTAAAAGTCTCACAAGTCAGAGGCTGAGCACCAGAAAGAATGCAAATAATACTGAACACATATTATGTGACAGGCAAAATATAAGACACTTTAAATTGTTAGCCCATTTAATTAGTTGAGAATTGATAATTTGCTTAAAAGAACAAAGCTAGGTAAACATGGACACATTTTTAACACTAGTTAGTATAAATATCTTTCTGAATATTCTTTAAAAACCTCAAGTTTTACTTTTCCAGTAGATGGTAATATAATGCTAAGTGAAAACAAACAAGATCCAATGTTTCATGTACTACATGATGTCAATTAAAAATATATACATAGATACAAAGGAATGGAAGAAAATGCAGCTATTTATCTGTGGTCCACAGATAATTATCTTAGCAGTTGGAATGCAAATGGATCCTTTTGTCTTCTATAAAGCTTTCTAGACTTTCTACCATACATAGGCACCTTATGCTTGACAAGAATGTGTAAAAAAAATACATGGATTAAAAAGTGAAATTTGTGTTCTTAAATTTCAGAATAAACTTTCTGTACCTGCATATTGACAGATAGAATTCATATTCATTTCAGAAAGTTTATTTTTAACTATAAGAGAAAGCTAATGTGAACCTCTTGTATTTAGCAGTTAATTGAAATTATTTTGGTCCCCCTTGGGATTTGGGATGATAGTTGAATTCGTATCACTAATTTAGATTTCCAGTAGGGTTGACTTTGGAAGAGATTTGTCAAACTGTATTGGTAGACAATCTTTATATGAATTGTGAAGCATCAATTTTTGAAAATTCTAGATAAGCTAACTCAGTTCTAAGAATTGGGTTTCAAATACTTTTAACAGGTAAACGCACTCTTCCTCTCCAGACTTAAGAGCTTGTATAATGAAATGAGGTATACAAAAGATTAGAGTCAAATAGTTATGGCATTTTTGGGTCAAGTATGTAATAGCAGATACATTTTTATTTCATAAAAACACATTGTTTCTGAATGTTGAAAACTATTAAAGCATATTGAAAGACCTGGTTGGGTGACTGTCATTCTCAAAGGCAGGCCTTACATTAAGAGGCAAATGTAGGTAGGGAAGAATAAATTCCTTGAGTATTTTGGACATTGATGCCACTGTGTTATGGTGGCAGACTATTCCAGTGTGCCTGGATGAAACAGGCACTGTGGCTGTAGTAGAATGAATTGTGAAGTTAGTTGTAAAAAAGCAACATTGACCTGTTTTCTCTTTTCGGGACTTAGGAAGTGGATTGGTAAAGTCTGTGGTTTCTGAGAATTAATGCATTTTGTGGTACTTTATGCTTGTATACAGTTTCAGAAAGGATAATATAGTATTTATTAAAACAGTATAGTGCTCCATAGCCCCGAAAAAGCACTCAAATAAATCTATTCAGTTTTTCTTTATGGCTTAGGACTATTCTACATTAACCTTTGACTAGTATTAGATATTTAGTTTCCATAATGATAAATTAGTTGGTAAAACAATAACATCGAAACTCAATGGGTCACACCCAGAAAGGAAAACGTGAAAGTGAGGAGTAAAAGTTGCTGGGAGGAAGCGTTTAGTGGGAAAGAGAGAAGAATGAGGAAGGGGAATGGGATGTGGAATGATAAAGTTCATGCTATAGATGGATGAAATGGTCAAACAGTAACAAGAAAACAAGAAAAATTTTAAATGTTCTGTTTAGCTCTGTATTTATCAATTATATTGTTCTTCTGTAGATATTAATAATTTATGTTTATCTTTATTTTAAAAATTCTTTTTATCTGCCAATTAATGTCATTCAGTGTTGAAAACTGTGCTGTACTCTGTGATAGCTACTGGCTATCTGTGACTATTTAAATTGGAAATGTAACTCAAATTCATTCATTCATTTTTGTCTTACATGCCTCGCATAGATGTGTGCCTGCTGGACACAGTCACAGTACAGTTTGTCCTATTTTCCCAGCACTGGAGAAAGTTACATTAGACAGTAAATTGCCACATTGATTTAAATATTCTTTGGGTGCATCTTTAAGTGTCTTGGAGCATGCCTATGTGATTTCACTTAAAATTTCCCCTTCTGTTATCACATTTCACCTTTTTGTCTTTCAGTTTAAAAGGATGCTTAATCGGGAGCTCACCCATCTCTCTGAAATGAGTCGGTCTGGAAATCAGGTGTCAGAGTACATATCAAACACATTCTTAGGTGAGAATAACAGCATGCAGTTCAATGATGTTTGCTTGTTTATTTTTGGAGGGCAATTCTAAATCATTTTGGAAACTAAATGTTAAAATTCTGTTTTTAATTCATAATATTAATAAATTTAGACTCTAAGTCTCTAAGTCTTAAAATCTAAGGTGATATAGTATATTTTATTTATAGATTTATTTGCAGTACTAGCTGTCAAACCCACAACCTAGCACATGCTAGCAGACACTATACCACTGAGCCACATCCTTAGTTTCTTCATGATACTAAATCATAAAATGTTTATAGAGATATCCATGCATATATTGAACAAGTTTTTGTTAGCTACCATTACTGGGTACTAGGTAATTAATAATAAACTAGAAATGGTCCCTGCTTTGGTGGCTTGAAGATCTAGTGAATATCAAGCCTGGCAAACTCATAGCTAAGTACAACTATAAAGGAAAAATTTGCTAGCAGTAGTTGAGTGTGGTTTTGTGGGACAACCCTTTCTCAGCTACAGAAAGAGAATACAATAAACAAAAGCCAATAATTTGAACGTGTCTTTGGTTCAGATTTACTTTCAAAACAAAGCTGCTGTGTATTAATTAGTAAAATACTACACGGATGTTTGTTGAACCTATACTGTGTACAAGGATGAGTTGAGGCTGGTCACTGCCTTTAATAGAGATGGCTGTACTAAAATACCTCACATCTATATCTTTTCTGTAGAAAACAGAAATCAGCTTATGTGCCTCTCACTTATTGCATAATATTTTAGATAGTCTCTTGTTCCTGTAACACTTAGTTACATTGTAAACCTTGCCTGATTATTGCCTAGGAATAAAAACAGAAGTGCTCAGGTCATTCAGAAAGGCAGTTTCAACTCTCACAGTGTGACGTACCTCACTTAGCTGTTGGGCTTATACACTGCTGTTTTTATTACATTTGTGTATGGCATTTCTCCCATTTCAAAAGACATATTGAAACTGGAGTCCTGCCCTAGTTATCTTTTTATTGCTGTGATAAACACCATGACCAAAGCAACTTAGAGAATAAAGGGTTTATTTGGCTTACATGACTCAATAACAGTTCTGTTGAGGGAAGCCAGGTAGGAAATCAGGACAGGAACCCGGAGGCAGGAACAGAAACACAGACCATTGAGGAGCACCACTTACTGGCTTGCTCCCCTAGCCTGGCCTCAGCCTGCTTTCTTTTATAACGCAGGACCACCTGCCCAGGGGTGGCACCAGCCACATTCCACATCATTCAACAATCAAGAAAAAGCCTCATAGACATGCCCACAGGCCAATTGCATAGAGGATATTCCCCAATTGAGGTTCCCTCCTCCTAGGTGTATCAAGTTTACAACTAAAGCTATCTAGCACAAGTCCTTAGTTAGCAAACATTTTCAAGCTACTAAGTGAAATTTCAAACATGGGGTTGGTGACAGTAAATAACCAAATGTTTTGCTTTATCTAAGTCTACTTTGATGATGTCTTTCACAGTGTATAGTAGAATTTGTTTAATTTTGTATTTGAGGATACCAAATACAAAAATTTGTAGTCAGCTCTACAAGGAAAAGTATTATTTGGAGTCATTTCCTAGAATACACAGTGAGCAATTGCATCTTGTTCATTTATACATTGGTGACTAGAAAGTAAAACCAAGTAGAACAGATAATAAATGTAAGATGTTTTCTCAATTTCTTAAGATAAGCAGCATGAAGTGGAAATTCCCTCTCCAACTCAGAAGGAAAAGGAAAAAAAGAAAAGGCCAATGTCTCAGATCAGTGGAGTCAAGAAGCTGATGCACAGCTCCAGCCTCACCAATTCATGTATCCCAAGGTTTGGGGTTAAAACAGAACAAGAAGATGTCCTAGCCAAGGCGAGTTCAGAGATCATGGTCATAAGTGTGCTGCTAAGTCTTTGTGTGAAGTTTCTTCCTGTTCTTTTCTTACTAATTAATTTAAATTTTTTTTATTTTTCATTTTATGTAGTAGAGTGTTTTGCCTGCATGCATGTAAGTGTATCCATGTTGTGCATGCCCACAGAGGCCAGAGGAGGGTGTTGGATGCCCTAGAACAGGAGTTACAGATAAGTGGTTGCTAGCTGCCAGGTGGGTGCTGGAAACAAAGCCTAGGCTCTCTGAAAAGAAAAGTCAGTGCTCTTAACCTCTGAACCATCTCTCCAACCCAAAATTTATGTATTTTTTGAAACAGCCCAGGCTGTCCTCCAACTCACAGGAGTTCTGCCTGCCTTTGCCTCCTGAGTGTTTGGATTAAAGGCATGTGAAATCACACTCAGCCATTTTTCTTTTATTTTAAATAGATGGAGAAGTTCAGTAATCTCTGGTGTAATTTTTTGAAAATGGGAAAATTACTTCACAAAGGTCTATAAATTACTGGATTTTATTAATATATAGTATTTGGACAGGTGGTTTGTACATTTTTGTTTGGGGGATTGGTTTGGTTTTTAAAATTTTTGTATCTTCCTTTGATTTTTAAAACTTTAGATTTTTTTGTTTTATGTATTTGAGTGTTTTGCCTGCATGTGTGCAAGTATACCCGTGTCATGTAATGCCCACAGAGGCCAGAAGAGGGAGTCAGATCCCCTGGAACTGGAATTACAGGTGTTTGTTAGCTGCCATGTGGGTGCTAGGATACAAATCTGGGTCCTCTGCAAGAGCAGCCAGTGCTCTTAACTGCTGAGCCATTTCTTCAGCCCTCCACCCCTTTATTTGACTTTTGACCTTAAAAAGTTAAAAATCCATCATCTCTTCTGGATTTTAGAATGCTGGTTACATTCTGTGACTAGATTTTTAACCATTGAAGAGATTATTTGTGATCAATATTGAAAGCAAATGAATATAATTTACTGTCAGAATCATAAGTTTAAGCAGTACTGTTTAGTTTTCAATATATTTAAGTCAATTTGCCTAAAGTTTGCCTGCAACTACATGTTGCATCCATTGCATTTAAAATGCATCAGTATTTTAAAAAATCTTAGCAATGTTTCCCATCAAAGTCAATGATTTAAAAATGCTTCTGTACACTGTCTCCTGTTCTTCATGTTCCTTATCGTTGGGTATTTTCCTTCACTCTAGGAACTAGAAGATGTGAACAAATGGGGTCTCCATGTTTTCAGAATAGCAGAGCTGTCTGGTAACCGGCCTCTGACTGTCATCATGCACACCATTTTTCAGGTAATGTTCCTTCTAACCATGGACTGTGTTGGGTTTTTTCTGCTGCTATGACAACATAGCTGAGCAAATCATTTTAGAAGGAAGAATGCTTTATTTTGGCTCCCAGTTTCAATCAGTTGTTCCATTGCCTTTAGGCTGTGATAAGGCAGGAGGATATCATGGCAAAGAACACATGGCAGAATAAAACAGCTTACCTCAAGAAGTAGAGAGAGAGAATGAAAGAGTCCAGGGACAAAAAGAGTCCAAGACAAGACACTTTTCAAAAGGCAGGTTCCCCATGGCCTGCTTCCTTCAGCTAAGCCCCATTTAGCAGTGAGTGCACTGATGCAGTTAACATCCTCATTATACAATCAACTCTTAACAGTGCCACCAGGATGGAGACTGGGCCTCAACACATGAGTTTTTGGGGTCATTTTATACTCAAACTGTCCAGTCTCTGGACTGCATGGTACCTTGCGATTAAATGGGGAGCTCTAGCCTTAGCATAAGTGTTGGATTGATCTAATGTGATTGAGGGGCAAAGTTGGCTCCTCTGTAGCTCCTCTGACCCAGGGCCTGGCAGCATTCCTCACGCTGTAGAACTCAACTACAGCACTGTTGGCCTCCAGAAGGACAACTTGGCTACAGCTGTGGAGTTGTCCCCAAAGTGTCTAGCCTCACCGAATGTTTCCACTTCCTTCAATAGACATGGCAAAGTGACATTTCTGATTATGGCTTATCTGTAGGCAATAGTGGTACATGATATATATATATATATATATATATATATATATACACTCTGAGGAACTATTTTTAATATAAAGACAAAAATGTTAAGATGGTTTCTTTTCTTACAGGAACGAGATTTATTAAAAACATTTAAAATTCCAGTAGACACATTAATTACATATCTTATGACTCTTGAAGACCACTACCATGCTGACGTAGCCTATCACAACAACATCCATGCTGCAGACGTTGTCCAGTCTACTCACGTGCTATTATCTACACCTGCTCTGGAGGTAAGTCTATTCTCTAAGATGTCAGCAGCTCTCTGTTGACACTCATAAAGGTCTCTTAAACTTGTGTTGAAAGGCTTATAGTACAGATGATAACTAATTTTATTGGAATTATATTGACTTATAATAAGAAGAAAAAATGTGTATAGTTAACAAACAACAGAGCCTTTGATAAATTTTGCCTGTGAAAATTGGGCAAAGATTTAGGGAGTCATCTGTTTGTGACATTGCTTCTTTGAAATGGCCCAGTGGACATTTCACACCATACACTGACTGACTGACTCTAGTTTTTGTTTTTTGTTTTTTTTATTTCTGCTCAGCCACTTTATTTATTTATTTTTTATTTATTTTAATTAAAAGAAGCATTTCATTACATAACATTGTCCTCTCTGAAGAGGTAACCCTAAAATCTTTTAAGGATTAGATACAAGCTCCCAAATACTTTCGACATCATTACAACAGCATTAACCTATTCAATAACATTTTTCTGAGCTAGGGTACATCTCTTTCAAAATTGGCTGTACATTTCTATGTTTACAGATGAATTATTATGCTTATATAATCTTTTACTCATTATAAACTCTATAAGACATAAAATTAAAGGAGGTTCCAACGTTTAAAAAAGATCTCCACTGCGTTGTCAAAACACACAGTTTCAAACAGAAAAATTCATTTCAGGGCTCTTGACATTGAGACGTTTTCATATTTATAGTTCAAAGGATGACTGTTTCTTAGAATATAAGCAACATATTAATACTTTCCAAGAATTTATTAGAAGGAAATACTTCTTTAAATTTTCCACATCCTAAAATGTTGTTTAATAAAGGGATTTGATTTCCATAATCACTTGGGGGAAAGAGTCTCTTTTGCTATATAGTTTAAAATGGTTTCATTATAAATTTTGCCAAGACCTCATTATTCGGTTGGGTGATTTTTCAGAAGGTGATGATGTGTGTCCTTGTCTCCTCCATCCCAATACCCAGGCACATTTGGGGATACTTGGAGACAGTTTTGGATGTACATGCTACCAGCATGTTTTGAGTAGGCCAGGAATTCACTAAAAAGCCCTATAATGTAGACAATAATTGCCTGCCCACAGTGTTAGGTATACTGAGACCAAGAAGCCTTGACTATAAGGAAAGAGAATAATTTCTTAGGTCATTAATTTTTTGAGCATTGTCAGAGTATTATTAAACAATTTACTTATAAACTCTTAGTTTCTTTCAACATAATTCCAGATGCTCTATAATATTTTCACAAAATATAATGAACAGGAGAGATTTGAGATCACATTTAAGAAATTCATAGACATAGTGTGTTTGAAGGGGGCTTCTTGATGCATCATAGTAATAATATTGTGAATTCTATAATAATAATAATACTCCTGAATTCTAGGAAATTTTTATTTTAGAAAAATACTTATTTCTAGAAAGAATTTATTTCTCATTTATTTATATAATCCTTTTGTTTATATCACTGTAGAGTAACAGAATAGTAATATTATCTGTATTGTCTGATTTTCCAGGCTGTGTTTACAGATTTGGAGATTCTTGCAGCAATTTTTGCCAGTGCAATACACGATGTAGACCATCCTGGTGTTTCAAATCAATTTCTGATCAATACAAGTAAGTGAAGCTTATTTATTTCTGCAAAACAATTTTTCCCTTTATCTTTTTAAACAACTGAGTGATGTTTACAAACTCACATTCTTCAAATATGTTTTAGTGGTAGTATAATGCTAATGCAGCTTTACCTCTGAAAATTATCATGGTCTCCTGTGAGACAGATGACGTGTGAAAAACATGAGCATGTTCAGGCACATCTCTAAAGATAATCCGATGCTTTGTTGCTGGATAGGGTGGTGAGAAGTGAAAACATGTAGCTCTTTTAGGTAGCTCTTCTGTCCTTAAATTTTTGACTAAAACAAACAAAGCTTGGAGGACTTAATTCTAAACTTCCTTGGCATTATACAGATCATCATTTAATCCCCACCAGAAGCTGAGGCTTTCCTTTCCCCATCACCATGCCCAGCCCTGTCAGTTCCCTTTCAAATCTGCTCATAAAGATAACAAGACCTTTTCTCCTAATACCATTCTGTTTCCTTTGAATCCCTTGTGGCCCCTCATTGTATAAGAAATACGTCTAGAGTGTTAGAGATGCTGGGCATGGACAGTTCTGATCTACAGATGCACAGCAAACCTCTGTAACAATGTTTAGAGCAGGCTTGTTCTCTGCCTTCAGAAAGAGTGTAGCATTGTATAGATACTACTTGGTACTTGAAGTTAACAGGTAAATGACCTAAATGTACTAGGACTTAAATTTCTCCCATTGTGCTATGTTATACTGATATAAATTTACTTTTATGTATGAAAAATCCAAAATAGTTGTTTTTTTTTTTCACATTAAGAATCTGCCTTTCTCCTTTCCTCTGCTTAAATCTGTGGGTTGTAGTGTGTTTTGTGTGTGTGTGTGTGTGTGTGTGTGTGTGTGTGGTGTGGTGTTTGCGCGTGCACGGGCTCACACACGTGATACATTAATCTGGCTACAGTAGTATCAGTGTGTTCACAATTTACTTCCTAAACATTACTGCAGCCAGATCTAAACAGAGAATTCAAATGTAACTGTGCCTTGAAAGGTTTAATTCAGGCCTTTAAGATTCAGTCTACTCATATCTTTTAACAGCCTCCTTAGAACCGTATAACACAATAGGCATTCTCCCATAGAAAAGTGGATCAGAAAAGTCACAGTCTCCTGGTATATGTGGTTACTAGACCACAATTTAGATGTTAGATTTAAGCACTTATTGCTGCTGGCTACACAGGGTACATTTCATGTTCCAGCCACTTTGTGAGAACCTGTAGCAGGAACTTCCAGAACTCACAAAATGCACACATAAATATTTACCACTGAATCTGCTTCCCAGACTTGCATTGCTGACAGTGTCCTTTCTGAGAAGAGCTAGCAGATCACACAGCACAGTCTACACTGGTTCTTTCCATAAGCCTGACCTAACACAGTGTTTTGATGTTCATGCATGCCTTGATGTAGCCTTAACAGTATAAGTTTCAACAGATACATAAGCATAGTTTGTTTAGATTTAGTTTTGATATTTAAGAAAGGCACTATGTTTCTTTAAATTACCAAAATCAGAACTGGGGGTGGTGGTTCATGCCTTTAATCCCAGCACTCTGGAGGCAGAGACAGATGGATCTCTGTGAGTTCCAGGTCACCCTGGTCTCTACAGTGAATCCAGGCTAGTCCTGGCTACAGGGAAACTCTGTCTCAAAAGGGAGAAGATATTTTCTTTGTATTCTTTTATGTATCCTATTGTATGTTCCCTTATTGTAGCAACAGAATTAGGAATAGAAAACACATTTTAAGCAATTCGTCCAGTCACTGTCTTTCAAGAGCTCTGCTGTGTTTTAAGGACAATAAGGTCAAGTTCTCTTTCTGTGAACACTTCAAGGGCAGTTGATTTGACTGGCACCTGGGCATTATGGTGGGCAACTGTGGAGCTAGCACAACTGCTATCTCTAGATTTTAGACACTAAAATAGATAATGGAGAAACTTTGGGGATGATTATAAATATTTAGAGAGTGGCCAAAGGTGTCTATTTCAGGTCATTTTTCCGGTGGCTTGCCTAGTTAGAAGTTGCATGTTCTACTTCTGGAAGTTCTTTGCTGCCTACTAATGTCATGATGCTCTGTGTGACCACAGTAACACAGAGAAGCCCTCTATTCCTCGAGCAGCTCTCCTTGGGTTGCTAATGTTTTCAGATTGTGGCGTGTGATGAGGCTATGTTATTCCTGAGCCAACTGCTTGGTGTACAAAAATATCCTAGGGCCCATCAGAATTTCCACTGGGCTCATGGAAGCCTGCAGTTTTGCCTCCTTCCCTTCCTCCCTCCCTGCTTCCCCTTCTCTCACCCTCTCACCCTCCTTTCTTTCCTTTCTTCTTTTCCAGTAATGCAAATGTCTTATATTCACAACATGCAATCAGTGAAATTCTAATCACTTTAAACTTGTAACAAACATAAAATCTTTGTGTAATAATATGCTATCAAATTTATGTGCTTATTTCTAATTAGCAGTACCCTTTAAAAAATGACTTGTTTTATATTTTTTCCTTGGTTTCATGGATGGATTCAGCATCAGTGAGTCAGACTAACACACTTTCACTTCTTGGCTCAGAGCTTCCAACTGCTCAAAGCTAAGAGATTCATCTGTTTGTTCTAATAAGGAATTCTTGAGGTCTAATCACCAAAATTTAAACCCTTCCAACCCATAGTTGGAAGGATACGTACCTTACTGATACAGGGAAAAAACAGGGTTCCAATAGATGGTCCTGAGTCTCATTCATAAAAGAATTTAAGAATGGACTCAAGGAAGCTTTAGAACAGTTTTATTAGACTTAAAGAAAAATACTCAGGGCAGGCAAGCCATAATACCTGCCTTGAGGAGGAGAATGTAGGGGAGAAGGAATAAAGCCATGAAGCCATGCTGGTTTAGTCTGAATGGAGGTCAGACAGACACCATGTGGTAGAGGAGAAGGAGCTTTGGAGAAAAAGGTAAAGAAACCCAAAATGTTGAGGCAGTCCAAAGCATTAGAGAAAGCATGATTAGAAAAGAAATATAAAGAAGAAAGGGCGAGGTTAAGCTTTTCTGAAAAATTCAGAAAAACAGACAGACCTACGGAGAGCCCAAATTTGTGACTGGCTGGTGGGTTCCGAGAGAACTGCACTAAGGGACAGGGATTATAGGTAGAAAAAGTTAGGTGTTCTGCACATCTCTTTAGCATGATTTAAGGTGAACCTGCTTTCTTAGGGGTGGTCCTGTGACCAGCAAATCTGGAAACTTAGGTCTTTATCCAGGCCAGATATTTTATTCTCCTGACCAGCCTTCTCACATGGGCTTTTTGCTACTTGAGGAGACTACAGACACAGTGGCTGACCCACCTGCTTCCTGCTGCAGTGAGGCCCAGTCCTCTTAGCTGTGATCATGGTTCTCAGTGGTTGGTTTGGGGGTGTTAGTTTGGGGGACCAACGGTTTCATATTAACTGTGTTTACACTCACTGAATACACCATAGAGGCTCTGAAAGCAGGGGGATCGTTTCTACCCAGCAGAGCTGATGAAACCTGTGCTGTTTCAAAATGAGGCCATTTACTGATTCTCAATTTACAGTGAGAGGTTAAGCTTTACTTGAGTATAGTATGTCAGAAGGTATTTATCATTTCAAAAACGTTTTGACTTCACAGCTTTATTTTCTGGAAAAAAAAGAGAGAAAAAAACAGTATAGCATTAAATTTTACTTGGAAAGAGAATCTGCTTTCTTTACAGTAAATATGTCCAAGTTTAGAGAGAAAGATTTATTCCCAGGATTTGTTCCCATTAGTTACGTATTCAAAGCATGTGTCCTTGGGTTTCTAAGAGCAGAGAAACTTTATGTAGCTGCTAGTCTGTATACTTTATAGCTATTAAAAATCTAATATTATTTTAATATATTTTCATAGCTATGCTAGTAGATTATATAATGAATTTTCTTTGCCTATGTAAACCTTCCAAATAATATAATTTTTTAACAAATGTGATTATGTAGCTATAACCACAAAGACTATTTTAATTCATCAGAAATGTGCTGAAAACCAACTGAATATCAAGTAATAATTCCAGGCAGTAATAATACATAGAGAACAGAGCAAAACTTTGACTCATACTAACTTGCATTTTGCTAGAGGAGACAGTTTAACAACTAAGTACAGTGCATGAGCTGCTACTTCATGCAGTGGACAAATTCAGACCGTATTGGGCCTGGAGATGGGGTGAAGTGGGAAGAGCAGGACAGTTTTTGTTCAAAAGTCTTTTTTAAAAAATAGCATATAGTAATTGTACAAAATAATGGTGTTTTAATATATGGCTTTCTCATACATGTACATAAATACTTTGGCATTATATTATGATATTATCATACATGTATGTAATATAACTTGATAAAATTCACCCCCCACCCCCGCCCCCCACAATCTCTTGCCTCTCCACCTTCCCACTGGTCCTTCTCAAATTCTTCCAGAGGCTTCTATTAATGCTTCCAGTGCTTAGAGACACTGTGTAGTGAAGCATGCTGTCATTTTTCTAACCGGCCAAACCTAGCTCAGCAAAAAAAAGGCAGCACAGTTTTCACTATTGGTGAACACACCTACTGTCTTTGACCTGATCTTAAGCTGTCCAGCTGCATGTAAGCCTTCTTGCCATCACACAGGGTCAAGTCTTCCTTTACTCTTGGTGCCACTTACACAGACTGTTCCCTGCCTGTTTCCTCTGATGAGCTGAGAGCTGCTAGATGTAAGTCTGAGTAGCCGCCACCGTCTTTCCAGTGGTGGTCTATGGAGGACAGGTCAGCAGCGTTATTCGGTGTGCCCTCCAATTCCTTTCTGCTAACAACGTTATGTCATTATCCTAGCACTTTCGTGAGGATTGTTATTTTAGAGCTAGTACAAAAGAGGAGAGATTGGGTGCTGATTTCACAGTGACATTGGTTTGATTTGTGAACTTGTGATTGTTTTACCTCAAACACATATAATGAACATGCATTTAATTTGTTCTTAAGACCGTGTTACATCCAGCAGA